GCCACAGCTTCTCTGGGCGACCTGTGCCAGGGCCTCACCACCCTCACAGTAAAAAATTTCTACCTAAGATATAATCTTTCATCTTGAAGCCATTCCCTCTTGTCCTATCACTGCCTTTGCCAAAAGTCCCACTTCAGCTCTCTTGTGGCCCCTTTGAGTACTGGCAGGCTGCTGTGAGGTCACCCTGGAGCCTTCTCAAGGCTGAAAAACCCCAATTCTCTCAGCCTGTCTTCCTATGAGAGGTACTGCACTCCTCTGAGCATCTTCATGGCCTCCTCTGGACTCACCACAACAGGTCCATACATTTCTAATGTTGGGGACACCAGGGATGGATGCAGCACTCCAGGTGGAATCTCACCAGAGCAGAGCACAGGACAGAATCCCCTCCCTCACCTGCTGCCCTCACTGCTTTTGTAGCTGCCTAGGACACAGTTAGATATCTGGGCTGCCAGTGCACACTGACAGCTCATATCCAGCCTCTCATCCACCAGCACCACCACCAAGGCTGCCTTCAATCCATCCTATGCCCAGTTTGTTTGGGAATGCCCCAATGGAAGTGCAGAACTGTGCACTTGGCCTTGTTGAACTTCCTGAGTTCTCACAGTAATGGTAATTAACAGTAGATATTAACACGTCATTTTACTTCCATTGTTATTAATATTAATGATAGCAATTGTTATTCCTCTGTCAATTAGAAGAATAGCAGAGTTATTGCAGATATTATATCTGCTGTCATTGACCTCTAACCCTGAAGCACCTCAGAGTGCTCATCATGGGAGAGAACACCCTGTTCCAGGGTCCTCTAAGCCAGCCATGGTAGCCTGAGCCTCAAAGCACAAGAGGCTGCTTGGGGAGATGCTGGAGGGAGGTGAAGAAGTGGAGACATGAGACATGTCAGCACCCTGGCATGGTGAAAGGGTGCAAGTCGAGGAGCTGAGAGATCCAGAAGCATTCCCCATCTCCATCACAACCTTCCTGCATGATCTCCAAGGAGGTATTTGAAAAGCCATCAGAGACAGGAGGCAGATGCAGCTTACAGTGCTTAATTGCAGGTGTCTCCTTGTGTGTTAATGCCTGGTCTCACATTACAGCCACCAAGGAGCTCATCAGCACTGTCAGCACAGACTAATTAGCAATTCAACTGAGTGAATGTACAGCTAACCCATTTGCCTAAACATAAGCACCACATGTTATTTGAGATGCTGGAATATATCTCTGACTGAAACCTGCTGAATCTCTTCATGGTGCAGCTCCCCACCAGTTACACAGAGATATTACAGCTTGCTCCTCTACAGCTGAGTGTCCTGACATCCCACTCCCTGTGATAAGAGAAGCACAGAGCTCTGTTCTCAGCTGAGAGACATCAGTTACATTAGTAACAACACAAGAGTTTTGCTTTGTGGCAATGCCACAATGTCAGCACCTGATTAACTCCGTTTTGGGCTTCTATATGAATCTCATGTCTGCATGAAAATCTCAAGATCAGCCAAACACTACATCTATATTTTGAATATCTTTACATATTTCACCCCATCCTGGAAGCTCATAACATCTGTGAATGAGAAGACAAGCCCAGCTACATATGCTGACCACATCATTAACAGTGATTCACTGGTCCAGTCAGGAACATTGCAGAAACCAGCATTGGTCCTGCTGGCCACCCTCTGCTCCCCAGGAGCAACACATGGCAAACGAAATTCCTTGTCCTTCTCCCAGGTGTGCCACAGCTTGTACCAGCTGTGTACCTTCCCATGTCCATTCCAACCTGAATTATCCTGTGATCACAGACTCCTGCAACAAAGCATGGATGCAGGATGTGAATGTTGCGCCCACCAGTGTGGCATCATGTCAGGAAGGGTTCTTTAAGGGGTAGTTTTCTTGTTGATTCTGGAATAACATCAGTTGTGCCATTTGTCCTTCTCTCATATCTCCTCTGTGCCAGGAGGCCTGGGGGGCTCTGCCTTGACAGCAGACCCAGGTTACCCTGGACAGACCTGGCTGTGGAAAGCCTGCCAAGGCAGCGTGGCTGGGGCACCCCTCCGCCTCCATCCAGCTCTGAGCAGCAGCACAGCAGGGCCAGAGCGTTGGTTTTGGCCCTCCTCCAGCAGGTCACTGACCTTCCTGCTTCTGAGCAGGGGTTTTGGCAACAAGACCCATGATCAGTATTTATTTGTGAGTCAGACAGATAAATAGCAGTTAAGCCATGTCCAGAGAAGAGCAACAGAGCTGAGGAAGGGTGTGGAGCATAAGTCTGGTGAGGAAAAGCTGAGGGAGCTGGGGGGGCTCAGTCTGGAGAAAAGGAGCTTCAGGGATGATCTTCTAGGTCTCTACAACTCACTGAAAGGAGGATGTGGCCTGGTGGGAGTGGGTCTCTTGTCCCAAGTAACATGTGGCAGGACAAGAGGAAATGACCTCAAGATGCACCAGGGCAGATTTCAGTTGGATATTATGCAAAATTTCCCCATGGAAGCAGTAGTCAGGCATTGGAACAGGCCACTAAGGGAAGTGGTGGATTCACCATCCCTGAAGGGATTCAAAGGAGGTGTAGATGTGGCACTTGGGGAAGTGATTTAGTGGTGGAGTTGGCAGTGCTGAGTGAATGGTTGGACTCAGTGATTTTAGAGATATTTTCCTACCTGACTCTGTGGATTCTATCTCAGCTGCCTTTCCTTACATCCTTCTTTATGCTGGTGACTTGGAGCCTAGGGCTATGGCTGCACAGCCAACCTGGATCCCCATCCCAGGAACTAACACTGGTGATGGTTGTTGGATGCAGTTTGTGATTTCCTCCTCCTGGCCCAGGGCCATGGGAAGGACTCTTTGTTACTCAGCACCCTGTTTAATCATTTACAGCAGGGCAAAGGTGGGACAGGCACGGTGTCCCCGTGCTCTCAGTGCCTGGGGAGGTGTCACACTGGAGGGCATCCCAGCCTGCCCATCCTGCTCCTGCAACCCCACACCAGGCTGACCCAGGGACTCCTCCCCTGGTGTGGCACAGCTCTCTGGGAAGGCTGAGTTATTTCAAAGGGGTTTCAAAACACTGTTTACTCCACATCCAGCCACAGATCTCCCAGGTAATGCCATTCTTTTGCTTCACACTATGTGCCTACTTGACCCACACCCAGTTCTTTGCCCTCCCCACCCTAGAAGAAGTTAACTCCTTCCCACCCACGGCAAGATTCCCTTTCACCCGTAGGGAACCCTGGCCATTCCTGGTGACACAATCTCTGTCCACAATGCTGACATTCTCTCTGAGCCCTAAAATGTGCCAGTGGGCATCCCAGTACCTCCCTTGGGGTCAGGAGCATCTCTGCAGTTCCCTTCCCCACTGCCATGCATTGGGGATATTCACATTCCTGGGTGAGAGCCTTGCTCAAGGATCTCTGTGTGTGTCAATCCCTGAATCCTCCACTCACAGCCCCAGAGCCCCAGGTACTGAAAACACTGTGGGAACAAGAACATTGGTAAGACATAAACAAGCAGACTGTAAGAACCCTGTGTGTCACTGATGGGAGGGCCTTGTTTCCAGAGAAACTGGGTGGATCTGCAAACCACTGAGAGCGGGATTGGGAAGGACATGAGGAGCTGATCTTGTCCTTCCCTCTGCCCCAAGGCAAGATCAAACATACCTGAGCCAGTCCTGAGAGCTCTTAGTTTAACCTGCCTTTGGAACATGCAGGCCCACAACATTTATTGCCTCCAGCTCTGACAAGTTCCTGCCTCAGTTTCCCTATCTGTAAAAAGGAGGAATGGTCAGAACTAGTGGATCCATTGCTGTGTTACTGGAGAGGAAAGAAGTGGGGAGAGAAACTTTTAGCTGGTGACTGATGATTCACAAACATCTGGTGAAAAGCAGTAAATAAGCCTGGACTATTGTGTACCTATGGGCAGGAACTGTGACCAGATTTCCAGAGGATAACAGGTATCTCCTTTTAACTTGTAGTAAGCCTTGTTTTTTTAAATTTTTTTGGGGCGTGGGGAAGTGTGGGAATCACAGAGCTGGACTTCCTAAGAAAGGTCAACATTTGCTAGATTAGGCCAGATTCAACTGCAGTCAGCAGAGTGGCAAGAGGATCGTTATTTGCGTCCAGCACTGCAGGTACCTGACACTTGTGTGAGCAGATGATTCCAAGTACACCCAAAAGGGTGTTTTTTAAAGGGCAGCATTTTTATGGCATTTACAACCTCAAGATTTGAACTCTACTGCCTTGAAAGACGTCTTGAGCCTCCAAAACTGGTTATTGTGGGTCCAGGTCTCTGGTCAAGAAGAGTCTGAAGACAGGAGATGACAAAGGCTCCAGCATAGGCTGTGGGTATCAAAGTAATTTGGGTGCTGGGACTCATGCAGAGACACAAGCCTATTTCAGCTGTCTGAAACCATGGATGGGCAGCACCTCTGCTGGAAAACATGAACAAAAGGAGGCTGAAAACCAGGCTTTTAACTACAGATGCTTTCCTGCACTATAAGCCCATATAATGCATTGCAACAGCATTACAACATACATCCCAGAAACCTCCAATATGACAAAGGAGCAGGAAGAAAAAAATTAAGCCAAAAAGGGTTTTTTTCTCAAATTTGAACAATAGTTTTGGCACATGCCAGAGAAAACAGCTGAAGTTGATTTGGTGTCCTATATCTTATTATGTTCCTAATTTAGCTCTCAAGTCACTGCTTCAGCCAGTGACTTGATACACTAAACCTGTGTCATTAAATCATCTCACAGCTCTCTGGGGAACAGATAAGATTCAGGATGGCCTCTCAGCATTACTGTGCAATTTAGGTCTCTGTAATTCCCTTTAGCCAAGAAATATGATGAAAATGTATCTAGGAGACCAGTAATCAGCCATACAGCTTCTATTCTTGACAAATGCACAAGCCCAGCTTTCCATTGATAGTAACTGCTGAGAACCAGGACCTCATGATTTATCCAAGGCTCTTAAGAGCTTGATATCTGCTGTTCTACCAGCAAGGAAATGCAAAGTTTAAATATAAAACCTACCTTGAAAAGTTCTGTGCAATCCAATCAGCCTGTATATTTCTTGCAGATGATAGCACACTGATCCTGGAGTAATCCAATGTTTCATAAATGTCTCAGAAGATTAAGGCATCATTTTCTGCCCAAATGACAGAGGAGATTCACATGTCTGCAAAGTAAACACTGGCAACACTCTTGCATAAGAGCCAGCAATATTGTTAAAATTCTCCTTTGTGCTTCCTTACAAGGGCAATTACATAACCAGAAGCCTTCCATCTATCAAAATAAATCCTTTTCATTAAACAAGATGCTGTAGTGTAAATGCACAAACACACATCCATGGGAAGGAAGGGAAGGTGGATGCATTGAATTGCATGACTGACCTGGAAAGAGGATTTTAACCCTGCAGTGACTCACCCCTGCTGGCTATTCTCTTTGGTTGATTTCTAGCTTTGACTCATGAATCATAGACCCCAACACTGTGCTTACAATCACACGTCCCATTCTTTTTAACAGACAAGGGTTGTGCCTGCAAAGGAGAATGGGTCTGGCTGACAGACCTGCAGGTGCAGAACTGCCAAAGAAACCTCACTAGCTGCTTGCCAAAAAGGATCCTGCTCAGCCGAGCTCCCTTAGGGACTTGTAGTTCTGCTGCTCCCTCTGCCAGAGGCTCTCTTAGTTCCCAGTTTATCCTAAACTGCAATGAGATCTGCAAGTCACAACAATTTCTGTCTGAATCCTAAGGTGACAGCAGACAGGAGCAGGTGTCTGCACGTGGCCTTTCATCCAGATTCCACAGCATCCATGAAGAGACATTCCCAGGATGAGATGTCCTAGTCAAGCCTGTTTCCTTCTGACTATGGAGGGTGAATCTGTCACAATCTGCAGCACCTCTGCATCAGTTCTACAAACAGATACAGCAATGGGCAGCTTTGTCACCACCTCCTCTGGTACTACACATAGCAGCTGGCCCAGGAAAAATCACATCAAGGGCCATATATGTGTCATGACTAACCATGTCCAGTTATAGAACCAGCAAATGTGCCAACTAACCTGGAATAAAAGATCCCTGCTGTCTGCTCCCCAACAAGAGACCTGGGAGATCCTGGGCTTGCTCCCTCACAGGAAATCTGTGGGATCTCTTGCCCTCACTGGGGATTCCCCTTGAGCTGGCAGCTCAGATTAGGATGGATATATTCTCCTCAAGGGAGAGAAGGCCAGGTTGTGCAGGGGCTCTGAGGATGCCCCTCAGGAACTGAGATGAGCCTCATGTCTCTTCTTCTTATTGCCATCCATGGTGCAGCTACAAGGGGAAAATTAGGGACAGAAAGGACTGGATTTAATACACATTATCTGCTCTGAGTCAGCTGAGGAGGGATGTAATTCACTGAAGTGCCTTCCCTCAGAGGCAGAAACTTTCCCGACTACTGATAATGAAATAGCAGGAAACTCTATTTTCCTGTTCAGACCTGGCAAGCACACAGCACAGAGGGAAGATTTTTGACAGAGGTCCTCTCAGAGAGCAGATAGGAACATGATAATTGGATGAAGGCAAATGGGAAGCAAGGAGAAGGAGGCCATGATGGCAAGGTCAGAATCTGCAAGACAGGAGTCTTCCTTCCCTGGAAAGGAAGGGAAACAAGCACAAGGAAAAAGAGATTAAACAAGGAATTAACTGGGACAGGGAGCTAGGGGCAGGACATGGGTGTCCCCAGAGAGTCCCCACCAGCAGCAGATACACAACAGACATACAACACAGCTGTGATCTGCTGGTGTGTCTGGGCCTCCTAAAGGCTTTTCCCTACAGAGCAAAAACAGGAAACCAGACAAGTTTATTTCTGAAAAGATCCAACCTCATATTTAGGCTCATCCACTTGTGATCTAAAAGTCCCACATTATCTTTCACTGCCATTTCTCTGGCTTCAATTCAGGCCCCTTGGGTTTCAAGTCTAAAACAATGAAGTGTCATAAACTACAGAATGGTTCAGTTGAAAAGGAAAATGAATCTCGGCTTTTGAGGCTGCAGATGGATCTCCTGAGTGGCAAAAGGAGTTGATTTAATGAGCACAGAGATCAAGGCTGGAGGATACTGCTGTGGTTCTCCCTCCCATTACCAGCCAGACCCAGGCCACAAAGCCACCCTCCTGCAGTGACAATTTTTATGGTCTCTCAGCTCAAGTCCAGGTCCCAAATTGGAAAACTACAAGGGCAACAAGGTAAGGGAGAGGAACTCACAAACCCCTGCAAATCATTCACTGCAATGAACAAGCTCTCCTTGGAGAAGTGGATCAATGAAACTTGCTTTAAAGAGATTGAAAGGGTTTTTACAGAGAGATTTTGGGGGTTTTTAGAAACTTCTGCTCTGGGATAATATGTAGTGTCCTCATAGCATTGTATTTCCATTAGTTGAGGCACTGAAAGAAACTTTTCCTTTATCCAGCAATTAATATTTGCAAAAGTGATGGGAATTTTGATATCTACCATCATTGGCACTTCACTAGACTTGGCTGAAATGGGAAAGGATTCAAAGGTGTGGAAGATGAAGCGGGAAAGGCACATCAAGAGAAAGCAAGGCAGTATTAGCTTCCTATCTCCAATATATCAGAAATCAACATCCTTAGCTACTTATTGCAGGAACTGGCCCCTGAAAGGTATGAAAAGATGGCTCAGTAATTTCAGAGGTTCAGGATGATTTTGCCACTTCTCATTAGCATTTTCAGGAAAAGCTGGGCAGCCAGTGGGAGGAGGAGAGCAAACACAAGGCAGATTGTCTGAGTAACTTTCACATACGTTCACGCAGGCGGCTGTGCACTGAATGCTCCCATTGAAAGCGTTTCAAAGCCAGGCACGAGATTGGTCGTAGGAAAAAAAGTTTTTGTTGGAAAGTATTAGCACTGGAACTAAATACTTGTTGTGCTCTGCTTGTGGCAAGGTTGCAGCTTATCTCCCCAGCAGCAAGAAAGTAACACAAGCCCTCCAGCAAAACAGCAAACAGCAGCAGGATTAATTAATAACACCCAAAAAGGAGACAGTGCAGGAACAAGCTTTTACTGCTGCACTCAGAGGCCAGACCTGCTCTAGGAAGCCACTTTCAAGCATTTGAGGATGAGACAAACAAAGACTTATAAGATCAATTAATCTTTGCAAAAAAACCCCCTGTGATAGGGATGGGTCCAGGCAAGGTCACACACAGGTTGTGTTGAGAACCAGGGCCACCATTCCTCCTCGGAGTCCCAGCCGGGTAAACACAATGCTTGGGACAGTAGAAATGTCAGAGCCTGCACCAGGCAGAAGAAAAAAATACAAGGAAAATTGCTGATACTGCAGCTGAGGGGATTGAAAAGCTGAACTGACTTAGAGCAGGTCACTTCCACAGTGCTTGGAACTGCCTTCAAATTATCCGGTCAAATGAGCGTTAGATAAGCAGAGTCCTTCTGGGCCTGCAGGGGAATTCAGACAAGAGGGTTATTCAGCAGCTGGGTGATGACTAAAACTTTCTGAGGCAGGTGGGGGATAAATCCCTTCTGTGACCAGAGACTCAGCTGGTGCTGGAGGGCAGGCTGGGAGGGTGCCCAAGGGAACCCGGGTGGCTGAGCTGGGGCAAGGTCAGGGTCCTTGTCTGTGTCTGTCCTGCCCCGGTTACCACATCCCTGAGCTCTTTGAGGAACTTTACTTCAAGAAGGGATTTTTTTTTTCTCAGATTTGTATTTCTGTCAGGTTTCCTCAGTTGCCAGGAAATCCCCTTATGCAATTGCTGTGCATGACTGTAACTCTGCTCCTGACCAACAGTTGTTTACCTCACCAATGCAGGGCTCTCAGAAGTCCAAAGAAAGGTTTTTTCAACACGTGGTGGGCAAATGGTGAATGAGGAGAGCAAGATGTTTGGGATCAAAGCATGTTTGAGCAAAGCATGGGATCACAGTCTCTCTGTCCCCTCCATAGCACCAGAGATGAGGACAAATCCCTGTAGAAAAGCCAGAGGATGCCCGCCCTCAGACACACCTCAGGTTGTAGAGATGGACAGGAGATGGAGAGTGTTCCCATCTGGTGGGGACCATCTCTGCCTGCCTGCAGCCAGGGCTGGGACTGCTTTGGGACCCTGGTGAGCACTCTGGGGCTTTGTGCAGAGGAGGGACCTGGAGAGGACCATATCTGCAGTCTGGCACAGGGATATCCTTGGAGATAGCCTGGCTGGAGACGGAGAGGGCTGAGAGATTGGAGTCTGGCTGCTGCCAGTGTGTCACTGCAGAGCTGGGCAAGCTGCCTGTTCCCTAATGCCTCCACTCCTGGCAGAAACTGGGATACAGCTCTGTCCCCACTCTGGGCTCTGAAATCAGCTGAAGGAGGCAGGGGTTATGCATTAGCCATCCCAGGCCTGTCCCTGTGAGCCTTGTGAAGGGAAAGGGCACAATTTCTCTGCAGCCAGCAGGGTCACATACACAGCTGATAATTCAAAGTATATCAGTAAGGTCAATGAAGGGCACTGAAATTATTGCTCCTCCGTCTCTTTCCTCTCCTCTTGTCTAAACAAAGATCTTCTCTTTTGTATGCTATCTGATGAGAATGGAATAATTTTGGTCAGAAAGGTCCTCTGGGTGTCTCCAGTCCAGTCTCCTGCTCTGAGAAGGGTCATCTTCAAACTTTGGTCAGGATCTTACCCAGGTGACTTGTGGTTATTTCCAGGTGTGGAGATAGTGTCCTGTGTACCTGACCACTCTCCAAGTGGAAAAGGTTTCCTTTGCCATGCAGGGCTCCATAACAGAAATGTTCAGCCTGGAGGGAAGGTGGATGTTCTGTGTGGATGCACCAGAAAGAACAAATGGCAGGGAAGGGCTGCACAAGCAGCACATTCTGGTGGCACCTGGCAGAACAGGCCAGCAAGATCCCAGCACATCTCCATACACCACCTCAGGACACTCAGGAAAGGACACAAAGGCCAGTGAGTAGATCCTGGTGACTTTCAGACATGGGACAGGATGGAGAAGTTCAGCTGGTGACATCCCTTGTCCTCCATGGCTTTGCAGAGGGCCCTGGGCAGATGACTTGGCCTTGAAGTGTTTGGTGCCAGACTGGTGGGTACACACAGCTGCTGTGGGCATGGAAGTCTGA